GGGGGGGGGGGGGGGGGGGGGGGGGGGGGGGGGGGGGGGGGGGGGGGCAGGTAAGTCACAAGGGCGAGAAAGGAGTATCAACGGGGAAGGGGTTGAAGACAGTGGTATCTCAGCATTTGAATGCAATGCCAAAAACGAGTTGCAAGCCCGTGCACTGCTCAAGAGCACAATCGAAAGAAAAAGGTCGGATATCTCTTTCATCAAAACCTCAAACTAGCCCCCCAAACGCAAACCCTCGGCTGCTGTCCGGCACTTTTTCCTGCTTAGTCCAAATCTCTCTGTCTACCGCTACTACTATCGGAGTGGTTGTCAATGTGAAGACAACAACAACAACATTGAAGCAACTCACAGGTCCCGTGGTGCCCTCCCACCCCTCCACCGTGCTGTGCACCGAGAATCTAGACACGAACCGCCTCCCGCAAGTGTCCAGCGTACCCTTAGTGGCGGACGCTTTCGACGACGATGACGAAGAACCCACCGTTGGCGTTGAGGTAGACTTACGCCTGCTCGAACCGCCTCCCCCCCCTCCCCCGTTGCTGGCCCCCTTACCAGCGGGCAACGTGGCCGAAGCTGCTGCCCCTCCTCCTGACGCTGGATGTTCATTCGCAAAGACAACAAGGCGAGCGACAGGAGAAGGAAACGAGATTGAGGAAGTAATAGAGGTCGGAGTGGTGTCACCTGCTTGAGTACCAGACCATCGAGACCATCGTGGGAGATCAATAACCCCCATGTGGGTTGTTCCATGATCCTTCTTGGCTCGACGGCGGAAGCTGCATTGTGTACTGTAGGTCCCCTCGTGATCACTAGCTTGTCCATCAGACGAATCGCAACAATAACAACTACCACAGAAAGTCTGATGCTTACGCTTGCGCCCAACCTTGACATGCGTAGCAACGCTTCAGTCTATGCTATCCTGCGAGGCACAATCTACTGTACAGCAGTGCCGCCAAAACACACCAGCAAAGAACCGCGACCCGTCACACCAAATGGTATGGTACAAACAAACCCGTCCCAGCACAAAACACATGCCGCCAAAAACACCTCAACACACCTCCCGACCCCGGTCTCGACGCAGAACCGCCAGAACCAGCAACAGCATCGCCGGCATCCCCCGCCGTCGCCCCTTCGCCCCAACCACTACCCGGTACGTCTGCTGCCGCTACAGCCGCGGCCTGCCGGTCGACGACCGCACGGCACTCGGTGGTGTAATCATTCGGATCCGATGACCAGCCTGCTCTGACTTGCTCCCCCGTCAGCTCGGCCTGGCAGAAAGGGCAGGTCTCGCTGCCGTTGTCGATCTAGAACGCGCGAAACACACACAAAAAAAACGTGTGGAGACGGCGAGACGTTGGTGGAGGAATAGGTAGGGTTTGTGTGTGGGTGCACTGTTGAGTCGCATCGACGGCGCTAACCGCCTGGCCGATGACATACGTCAGTCCCAGTGCGGCTGAAAACACAACGCTGCAAAGGGCCATGATCTGGGACCCCGTGAGCGGGCGTCATGGTGTGTGCGTACATGTGTATCTTTAGTATTTGCATCGACCGCGCTGAACACCAGACCACTAAAGGATGGCAGTCTCAGTACGGCTGAAAACAGAAAGCGCTTCTGAAGGCGTGCATGTCTATTCTTGTACGAAGTACATCCTAGCATCGACCGCGCTGACCGGCTAAAACGTCACCGCGTCAGCCCCAGTGCGGCACAAGCGCCACCGTTCATACACGAAGCTACCACACTTGCTGTTCCCTGCTAGATTTAGTACTGCTAGATTTAGTACTACTAGATTTAGTACTGCTAGATTTAGTACTACTAGATTTAGTACTACTAGATTTAGTACTACTAGATTTAGTACTACTAGATTTAGTACTACTAGATTTAGTACTACTAGATTTAGTACTACTAGATTTAGTACTACTAGATTTAGTACTACTAGATTTAGTACTACTAGATTTAGTACTACTAGATTTAGTACTACTAGATTTAGTACTACTAGATTTAGTACTACTAGATTTAGTACTACTAGATTTAGTACTACTAGATTTAGTACTACTAGATTTAGTACTACTAGATTTAGTACTACTAGATTTAGTACTACTAGATTTAGTACTACTAGATTTAGTACTACTAGATTTAGTACTACTAGATTTAGTACTACTAGATTTAGTACTACTAGATTTAGTACTACTAGATTTAGTACTACTAGATTTAGTACTACTAGATTTAGTACTACTAGATTTAGTACTACTAGATTTAGTACTACTAGATTTAGTACTACTAGATTTAGTACTACTAGATTTAGTACTACTAGATTTAGTACTACTAGATTTAGTACTGCTAGATTTAGTACTACTAGATTTAGTACTGCTAGATTTAGTACTACTAGATTTAGTACTGCTAGATTTAGTACTACTAGATTTAGTACTACTAGATTTAGTACTGCTAGATTTAGTACTACTAGATTTAGTACTACTAGATTTAGTACTGCTAGATTTAGTACTACTAGATTTAGTACTACTAGATTTAGTACTGCTAGATTTAGTACTACTAGATTTAGTACTACTAGATTTAGTACTGCTAGATTTAGTACTACTAGATTTAGTACTACTAGATTTAGTACTGCTAGATTTAGTACTACTAGATTTAGTACTACTAGATTTAGTACTGCTAGATTTAGTACTACTAGATTTAGTACTACTAGATTTAGTACTGCTAGATTTAGTACTACTAGATTTAGTACTACTAGATTTAGTACTGCTAGATTTAGTACTACTAGATTTAGTACTACTAGATTTAGTACTGCTAGATTTAGTACTACTAGATTTAGTACTACTAGATTTAGTACTGCTAGATTTAGTACTACTAGATTTAGTACTACTAGATTTAGTACTGCTAGATTTAGTACTACTAGATTTAGTACTACTAGATTTAGTACTGCTAGATTTAGTACTACTAGATTTAGTACTACTAGATTTAGTACTGCTAGATTTAGTACTACTAGATTTAGTACTACTAGATTTAGTACTACTAGATTTAGTACTGCTAGATTTAGTACTACTAGATTTAGTACTACTCTCTGGGTGGTGGGGTGCGCTTGCCTTGAGGTCCTTAAAGAGACGCTCCAGCATCTTCTCTCCCATCAACACTTGCTCCTGCATTGCCTGTCCTCCGACGTCGTGTTCAAATAGCAAGCAACAACAGGAGCGTCAACAGACCCCGAGATGGATAGAATGATAACATGATGTCATATGTAGAATGGTGTCATGTCACGTCGAGAAAGGGCGGGTACGTATATGTTCCGCAAGACGACGGGGTGCATGGTTTACACCACGACTCCCAAAGACGGGCACGACATCGACAACGACAACAACGGCAACGACAACGACATCAACCAAGCGCCGAGAACCAAAACCGGGTACACAAACAAGCGCGATAGCGGAACTAACCATCTGCGAAACGAAACCGACTTCTTCGACGAGAAAGAAATACGTCAAAAAACGGATGCAACCGAGGCCCCCGCTCTGCCCGCAGCTACTCTGCCTAGTGCTGCAACCACCAAGGCCACGGACGCACCATCGACATGCCCCGCCGCCTGGCGTAAGGGGACGCGCTTCTCTCCAGCCGTATTCTAAAGTCCGACGAGCGGCGGACGTCTTCGTCCTCTTCCTGTAATCGAGACCGCCGCCGCCCCCGCCCCGTCCCACCCGCCGTCCCCGAACCACACCGTTCGGGAGTCTCGAACTTCGCACCGAAGGAGTCGCGAGCCTGCGAGTAGTTGGCGGCAGAAGAAACGTGTTCTGGTGCTTGGCCGCATCGATTCTCCGTTCGATGTTTTATCGAAATAGGGCAGAGCATAAGGAAGTTGAAATGGCAGTACCCCACGTACGATCAAGACGAGTTAGACCAGGTTGGATGCGTATTGTTCGTGTGTTTGCGTTTTTTTAATATTTCACTTGTTTATTTCTATATTTTTCAATTTGGGTACACATATATTTTTATATTTTCAGTTTTGGGGGCGCAAGACCGCATCATGAAAAGAGAGCGGTGAGGAAAGTCACCCGAAACAAAGAGAGAGATAACGATGGAGCGTACTGTAGGCAAGGATTTCTTGAGGTGGGCAGCAATGAGCAGCCTCTGCTTGGTCTCTCACCACAAGGACCTAAAAACATCGGACCGCACCTCCTCGCGATCGAGAGGCAAGGTGGGCTGTAATAAGCAGCCTCTGATTGGTCTCTCACCACACGGTCCAAACAACCGACATCAGAAAATTTCAAGAGGAAAAAACAGCTCGCACCTCCGTGGCCACACAAGGGGAGGAAGAGACGGGCTTGCCCAGAATCCCGAAGTCCAGCTGTGAGGCAACGGACGACGCATGCCGGGTCGGGGTAACAGAATCCGGCGTCATCACGATCGACCCAGCCGTAGACTTTGCCGTAAAGCGGGTGGTGGTAGTCTTGGTTGGCGCCGCCGCGACCGCAGCGTCGGTGACGGAGGCAACTGACGGTGACCTTGGAGGAGTGGCGTTGCTGGTGGTCTCTGACTTGTCGTTGAAGCGCCTCATCATCCTGTTTCAGGTGAGATTGAGACGCGCGCGCGGGAGGGCGGGGGG